ACGTCCCAGGCCATGACCAGACAGTCGTCGCCTCCAGAGGCGGCCGTGTGGCTGACATAGGCTGGGTAGGCGACGCAGGTCACCGCCGCCTCGTGCCCCACCAGCACCTGCCGAGGTCACCCCGTCAGCACGGCGTGACAGAAGAGGCACGGTCAACAGGAGCCGACACAAGATGGGAGGGAAGAAATCTGGACAGAACTCAGCACAAGATGGAAGGGAGGACACTGCCAACAGAGACCAGCACAAGATGGGAGAGAAGACACTGCGAACAGGAGCCAGCACTAAATGGAGAGAAGACACAGTCGACAGAGGCCAACACAAGATGGGCGGGAAGATATTGTCGATAGGAGCCAGCATAAGACAGGAGGAAAGACACCTAGACAGGAGTCAGCGCATATGGGAGAGAAGACATCATTAACTGGGCCAGCACGACATGGGAGGAAAGAAAACTGGGCAGGACTCAGCACAAAATGGGGGAGAAAGCAGTGTCACAGGAATCAGCACTAGATAAGAGGGAAGGCACCGTCAAAAGGAGCCAGCACGGGATGGGAGAGAATAGCAGGACAAAATGGGCGGGAAACACTGTCAACAGGAGCCAGGACAAGGTGGGAGGGAAGACACCGTCAACAGGAGCCAGGACAAGAAGGGCGGGAAGGCACCGTCAACAGGAGCCAGGACAAGGTGGGCGGGAGAGACACCGTCAACAGGAGCCAGCACAAGGTGGGTGGGAAGGCACCGTCAACAGGAGCCAGGACAAGGTGGGAGGGAAGACACCGTCAACAGGAGCCAGGACAAGATGGGCGGGAAGACACCGTCAACAGGAGCCAGCACAAGATGGGCGGGAAGACACAGTCGACAGGAGTCAGCACAAGATGGGCAGGAAGACACCGTCAACAGGAGCCAGCACAAGGTCGGCGGGAAGACACTGTCGACAGGAGCCGGCACAAGATGGGGAAAGGCACCGTCAGCACATGATGGGTTGGAATGTCTAGATCCAATGTAACAAGACGGTTGGCATAGCGCGCACACACATTTTTGTCGGCTGTGGTATCACGAAAACTGATGTCATGCCTGGCAATACATCGTATCAAGTACAAGGCAATCACTAGAGCGGCGGTGGGCAAAGGAGTGGGAGTGGATGGACGTGGCGCCGCTGAGTTCCCTTGAGAGTGTCGAAGCGACGCTTGACTCCCGGCTGCAGACGTCCCTGTGGATTTGGTTACCTCCATATTTGAAGGTGGAAGTATTGGCAACAGGGCTGGACTGCTGGGCCGGAGTTGGTCGCCAGGTGGGTGGCGCACAACGCACACAGATGCAGAGCGTGCTCGCAGACGTACTCAACGGTACCGATGCAGACAAGAAAACGCTTTCCTTATGGAAAGCTGGCGATCAACTGAAGGAATGACGGAAATCATTTTTTGTCTTTTCAAGTTAAGTCAACCAGTTAAAGTAAAATCGATTAAATAAAAACAAAATATCACTATAGAATATCAAATTAAACGTAATGTAAGTTACAGCGCTTACAATTGATATCTTGAAGTAGTATTACGAGCAAAGAGCAATGCTGAATCAAAACCGCTGAAGACCTCATTTAATGGCGCATTGCATCACGTAAGCTAGTAACGGAAAACGTTTCTATTTTTATTTTTTGCTACAAATGACGCCAGATAACAGGGCTCTATCGCAAGAAGGCGCAACAGGGTTTTATGGAAGAATTTCCATCACGCAAGAAGCAAAGCAGCGTCGGCCTCATTTCGAAACTTGCCGTGCCACACCAGCGAAAATATGTCCAGTCACTGATACTGTCGATCCTGTTGCTCTACCGCCAGCAGGAGGGGACCATATGACCAAAAAAACAGTACATCTTTTCAGTCTCTTATCTTCAGAATAATTTTGGCTATCCTTTGAATTGAGTTCACCCCTCCGTACCGCCCCGTTAGGCATTTGTCACATTTGCTACGTCATTTGATCACGTCACGCACCTGCGTAAGACGCCCCTCCGCGATGGTCCACACTTTGAGCGATGCGTCGTTGGAGCCTTGTGATGACGTGCAAGCTGTTCGCTGCTGACGTCAAGCAGGCGTATGACCGTCATTATGAACTGATTGTGTTCTTGGTTTTCGCTTTTATTCTCAGCGTCCCAAACATACAGGCCTGAAAACATGATGGAATTCAGTCAGTGCATAAGGAAGTGACGGCTAAACTTTAAATTGCAGTAGTAACCCAATTCCCTGAAAAGTGCTTGGCACACAACTCAACTCCTAAAATGATGCACTTCGTGATCCTGCAACGCTTTACCAGTCATGTAACATGCACACAACAGCGGCGATAATACTAAAGTCGAAGTCCAATCATGGCTTTCTTCTCACAATCACGATCCCAATGACGTCATTAGGCCGTCAGAGCCCGAAACGCAGGATTCCGCATCCAGCAGGGCGCCCCTTCGCCGGCACCCGGTCGCCGTGAGCTCACTGGTGGCCAGCGCTGTTGCCGGAGATGGCGTAGGTCTGGTCGGGAGTCACGCGGATAAACTCTCCGGGCCCCTGGCAGGTCAGCAGCAACCACGCCCGTCTCCACCTGCCACAGCTTGCGGCCGGAGGGTATATGACGTCGGCTGAGCGTAGGAGACGGTCGCCAACGGCAGACCGCGATCTTGTTTGAATCCGCTTTGTGCCCCAGTCCAGGTAGTGTCCCCACCGAGGTCAAGGGTCCCGACACAACAGTGCAAGCATAAACGTTGCGGCGGGTTTAGTAGGGTTGAACGGTTTTGAGATGTACAATTGTGTAGTATATTTGAGAAGTAACATAATTATGCCACTGCTGCACCGCGTGAATACATTTTTAAGCCGGCATTGACCTGGTCAAGTCTACCTCCCCCGCCCCTGTCTAACTTTCGAGGTATCTAAAAGCGCCTTGAGATATCGCTGCGAAATTTTCCAGTAATGCCTCACTTAAAAATTATACACCTGTTTTGTAAAACTAACATCTGTAACATATATATATATATATATAATATATATATATATATATATATATATATATATATAATTACTATAGGAACTGAGAACCTTGCTAAAAGAAAAAAAAACATTTGCGTTTTTTAAACTTGTCGTCCTTAGGAGTCTTTCATGCTAACTAAAGCCAACTTTTCCACAACTCGGTGGCTATAAAACAGCCTTGAACCGTGGGGCTATCCTCATCATAAATCCTAAGGACTTTCAGATATCTCGGTTTAAGTAGCACCTGTGGTCTAGCGAAAGTCAATTATTTTAACACAAGCACTAGGGCATTTTAGAAATAAATTTCTTATGAACACGGCAGAGTGACGACGCTGCCGCGTCACGTCCCGCCCGTAGCGAATTACGTCACACCGCAGCGAGTGACGTCACGCGCCAGCGGAGTGACATCACGCTGCATGAGTGACGTCACGCCAAGGCGAGTGACTTACATGAGCACGCCGCCTTGTCCGCCGACAGAGTGCGCTTGCTTGTCGAGAGCACACATACGGGACACCACCGGCGTCATGTGGTCCTGTCACACGGACACAGTCGCGTCAGTGACAGAGGCATGCCAGGAGCCAGGGGTGTAAATACACCAGGAGCCAGGGGTGTAGATATTCCGGGAAACCAGGGGCGTAGATACGCCAGGAGCCAGGGGTGTAGATATGCCAGGAGCCAGGGGTTGTAAGCCGCCAAGAGCGAGCGGCGTAGATACGTCAAGAGCCAGGGGTGTAGATACGCCAGGAGCGAGCGGTGTAGATACGTCAGGAGCCAGGGGTGCAGATACGCCAGAAGCGAGCAGGTAGATACATTCAGGAGCTAGGGGTGTATCATACGGCAGGAACGATATATGTAGAATGATGTACGTAGACCAAGAACCCAGCATGTGGTTACGCTAGGGCCGGAGGTGTAGATACGCCAGGAGGAGAGCGATTTTGTAAATACGCCAGGAGCCTGGGGTGTAGATACGCCGGGAGAGAGAGGTGTAGATTCGCCAGGAAAGGCGAACCATCACCATATATTCGTGTCGTCTTGGAGAAATGAGTGGAGGATTTCCATTTAAGGTTCATGGAAAGCATCGTCGATGTAGCGAAGGAAAGATGAATGCTATATATAGTGATAGAGCTTTCTTAGGCTAGTATAATGAAATTGGGAGGTCTTTCAGCAGCAGAGGCCTTTCAGCAGAGGTCTCTTCAGGCCTTTGATGTGATCAAGTGAAACCCCGTCAGAGAGCACCGAGTGACCGAATTTTTTTTCTTTTTGTCTGCGACTGCATTGTCACACGTCTTCTAATGACGCCACCGAATGAGATGACGCCAAGAACTTCCGAGAAAGCTCCCATTCAGCCTCTAGACGCACGTCGACGTAAATCTAATGACATCATAAGAACAGATGACGTCACACTCACTGTGAAGGCGGCCACCACCAGATTGAGCGTGAGTCCCCAGACGCGGATGGAAGTGTCTTGCGAGCCGCTGACGGCGTACAGACGTTCGGCGCGAAACTGCACACACGTCACCGGACCCGTGTGACCCTCCAAGGTCGCGTGAAGGTCACCGGATGGCGCCAGCCACACCTTCAGGTGCGAGTCGGAGGAGCCTAGAGACGAACACGAGGACGTGCTTTCAGTGGAAATGTGGTTACTGCAGCCGACGGTGCTTTCGTCACAACGGCTCTTTGGCTGATCTGCAGTTTAAAGCAGTACATAACTGAGTACAATCGTACAAGAGGTTGCCATAGATGGATACAATCGTGGGAACTAAACTGACAATGCTACCCATATACAATACAGATGTACACGGTTTTCCCATTCCAGGAGTTTGAAAATAAGCATACACTTCGTCGTCACAAGCAAAATCCTCTTCTCAATAGCCGGTAACATAGACAGGATAGTGGGTAGTGAGCAACACTACGTTAGTCTTCCTGTAGCGGGGGGGGGGGGGGAGGGGGGAGGGAGGAGGGCTAACAGTAGACAGGAGTCTCAATCAGTAGCCACCTATCTTAATACATCTCGATGCACAACTGCGCAGTCACGGGCTGCTTAAAACAAATTCAACGTGTCATCAGATCATCATCAGAGCATGATCATGCCCATAGTCCCAGACGTCTTTGATAACCAAGTTACTCATCGACGTCTGCCCTGTCTCGCCCACGGACCTCGAAACGCACTGCACTCTACGAAGAAGTCAACACGCTTTATATTGGGCTAACCATGCAAACAGATCGTAATACGGGTTCGGGCACACGAGCAACGAAACGATTCAAGCGGCGGGTATCTTACCCGTAACGACCATAGTTTCGTCAGCTGATATGTCCACACAAGTGATGTCCGCTTGGTGCTCCACCGGGATCTTTTTTCGGTCCGACACGTAAACGCGCGGCTTCACTGTCAGAGGCTGTACGTGGGTCACTAGCACCCTGCTGGCACCTGGCGGCCGGCAGACGAACCTCGAGTTAGTTCAACGCCCAGCACTCTGGCGCCTGATCATCAGATTTTGTCTTCACACACTCGTCTTACCACAACGCTTCGTATAAGAGTTTGCATACTGACCGCTTCGACAAAACAAAAACAAAAAGCGGCATGGACCGCAACAGCTTCTGATCAGACAATGAATCATGGCCGACTTCCCCAGACCGTCTTGACACACTCTCAATCATCGACCAGAGCCGGGAACGAGTCGCGACGTTCGACACGTTTTAGATAGCTGCAGCTGCTCTGCCGCCAGGCGGGGCGCAGGGGAACAGCATACAACCCACAGACCGCCGTGTTAAGGAATGAATTACGTGCCGTTGAAGAGCAAAGACAACACACAAATGAATAACACCCACCCAAGAACCGTAAACTACATGACCGACCCTGAAAAGTCACGTACACCATGATACACCAAGAAACCCACAGCTACGCTATCTCAGGTTGATGTCACTGCGCTGGCCACCGCGACACATCACGTGACACCCGTGACACACCAGCCCTCCACCGACATTCGCAACACCGCGCTATCCGCCACGGCACACTCACGTGACACGCCGTGACACAACAGCTAACTACCGGCCGGCACATCACGTGACACCCGTGACAGAGCAGCTCTCCACCGACCGACACATCACGTGACACCCCGTGACAGACCAGCTCTCCACCCGACCGACACATCACGTGACCCCCGTGACACTGACCGGCCGTGACGAGCAGGTGGCCCCGCGAGGCGAAGCGGGCCGCCAGCACGGCGCTGCCGTGGCGGGGAAGCGTGCGCAGCAGTCGGGCCGAAGCGATGTCGTATACGTACACCTTTGAGTCCCGGCAGCCGGCCACACCACAGCTCACCGTCCTTCGACGACGCCAGAGACGTCACCTGAGGACAACAGCAGGGGCAGCTGAGCTTGGGTATGATGCCAGAGACGACACCTGAGGGCAGCAGGGCAGAGGCAGCTGAGCTGGGTATGACGCCAGAGACGACACCTGAGGGCAGCAGGGCAGAGGCAGCTGAGGTCGGGTATGACGCCAGAGACGACACCTGAGGGCAGCAGGGGGGGGCAGCTGAGCTTGGGTATGACGCCAGAGACGACACCTGAGGGCAGCAGGGCAGGGGCAGCTTGAGGTCGGGTATGACGCCAGAGACGACACCTGAGGACAGCAGAGGCAGCTGAGCTTGGGTGTGACGCCAGAGACGACACCTGAGGGCAGCAGGGCAGAGGCAGCTGAGGTCGGGTGTGACGCCAGAGACGACACCTGAGGGCAGCAGGGGCAGCTGAGCTTGGGTATGACGCCAGAGACGACACCTGAGGGCAGCAGGCAGGGCAGCTGAGCTCGGGTGTGACGCCAGAGACACCTGAGGGCAGCAGGGCAGGGGCAGCTGAGGTCGGGTGTGACGCCGGAGACGTCCTGAGGGCAGGGCAGAGGCAGCTGAGGTCGGGTGTGACGCCAGAGACGACACCTGAGGCAGCAGGGCAGAGGCACTGAGCTTGGGTTGACCAGAGACGACACCTGAGGGCAGCAGGGCAGGGCAGCTGAGGTCGGGTATGACGCCAGAGACGACACCTGAGGGCAGCAGGGCAGGGGCAGCTGAGGTCGGGTATGACGCCAGAGACGACACCTGAGGGCAGCAGGGCAGAGGCAGCTGAGGTCGGGTATGACGCCAGAGACGACACCTGAGGGCAGCAGGGCAGAAGGGCAGCTGAGGTGGGTATGACGCCAGAGACGACACCTGAGGGCAGCAGGGTAGAGGCAGCTGAGGTTCGGGTATGACGCCAGAGACGACGAACCTGAGGGCACAGGGCAGGGGCAGCTGGCTTGGTATGACGCCAGAGACGACACCTGAGGGGCAGCAGGGCAGGGGCAGCGTGAGATCGGGTGTGACGCCAGAGACGACACCTGAGGGCAACAGCAGGGGCAGCTGAGCTCGGGTATGACGCCAGAGACGACACCTGAGGACAGCAGGGCAGAGGCAGCTGAACTTGGGCGTCACCTGAGAGCGACGCAAAAAAATCAAAGTCTTCTGGTTAAAGATCTGGTTCTCGACGTAATGAATTCATATGCAGAAAAACCGCTGCTCGCGATATACCGCAGGTAGGTTTTTATCGATTGTTAAGCGTAGAGTGATTCCAGCCGTATCTACTTCGTTTCAATAGCTATCATCGAAAGATCCGGGTAAAAAGGTTAAACATACGCTTACACACCAGACCGGGCGTATCCAACCATAACATGGACGCGTGACGGCGGCCATTTTGTTTGACTGACCCCAACAGCTGACGAGGTTCAGTACTTACCCTGACTTTGATGATTGTGCAGCGAGTGCAGAGGACTGCCGGTGGTGAAGCTGTGGACGTACACCATCATGTCGAGGGCAGGCCGTCAGCAGGAACATCTGGCAGCCAACAGGTCAGGTCAACCTGGACGCTGGGGGCGACCGTTGGGCCACACACCATGGCACATAGATCCGTGCTCCTGAGGAAGCATGCTTGCAAGGATGTTACACATTTGCATGGAATTTTGAACGAAAAAAATGTTGGATATCATTCGGTGCAGTTCACAGCCCGTCCTTTTTAAGACGTAACCCCCTCTAGTTTCTGAGTTGCATACCGGCGAAGATGTGCAGACTATTTCTTGCAGACTATTTCAAGGTCATCCAGGTATCCACGACGCCCATAATAATGTTATTCGAATGAAATTACGCCTTGAGGAGCATATTTACTAAATAGAGATATCATGATATCTAGAGCAGTCTTTTACACCTGCTCGCTGCTTCTCGTGCTCGTTTCAATATCTTCAACTGTTAAAACATTTCCTTGAATGTCGCCACGGTTGCCACGCTAAATGTTTAATGAAGCCCCGAACGATTTCACGTCGTGAAGTACCTGCCAGAATTACTCCATAGGTAAATCGTGAACCGGTTGCATTTCGTGGCGCCCTTGAAAAACCCAACAATGTAAACCATTTGCATGTAAAACGAGATCAGTTGTCGCATGTGTGGGGTATTGACGAGAGGAGCGAATATCGTGGGACGGCTGAATGGCACGCTCTACACCAATGGTGGTAGGTGATCCTATCAACCTGAGAGCTAAGCTGACGAGAGCGTAGAGGCCGGGAAATTGCTATCATTCAGCACAAGCGATGGAAAATGATGGCTGACATTTTCGGGCGCCATTAGAAACGGTATGGAGCGCCATTTTCGGCGTCTAAATCAAGACGAAAAAGATTTTTTTCCTCGATGGGTTCACCATGCTTGTTTGTATAAGTGGAGTGCGTGACAGTTGTGCCCTCTCCCCTCTCTCAATCTCTCTTTCTCTCTCTCCCTCTATCCTCTCTCTCGCTCTCTCTCTCGGCTCTTTCTCTCTCTCTCTCTCTCTCTCTCTCTCTCTCTCTCTCTCTCTCTCTCTATACTCTCCTCTTCTCGCTCTCTCTCTCTCTCTCTATCTCTCTCTCTCCTCTCTCTTCTCCCTCATTAGCAACATTTGCCGGGCCTTTCTTGAAGTTACGCCACCCTAGATCATACATCAGAGAAGCACGCAGCCAGTATTAGTGTGTGCCCTTCTCACCGTTCGACGTCAAGCCAAACGTACTGTCCCTCACACTTCTGCACCGTCCGCTCGTTACCTTCATGCGCACATGCAATATATGCGCCATAAATAAGACGTTAATAATAGTTTATTTCTCGGAGAGAAAAAACAAGAGATGGTGACATAGATGTGCTGATATTGGACAACATGCCTTTGTGGAAACAATAGCAGAGGTGTCATTTACGTGAAAATCGCGGTCTGTGAAACTCCACCTCAGTGAAAATTGTACTTCTGCTATTGTTTGGAAAGACGACATGTTGCCGAAATACCAATACATCTTTATCTCCTTTCGCCTGGTTCCTCTCCGTGGAAAAAGGCTATTTCTATTATCTCATCTATGTCAATATGTTCCTCGCAAATGCACTTAGCAACTTAGTATGCAATGCAACTTAACTACTGCAATGTGTTTGTGACATGGGTTGGCGCGTTATGGCGAATGGGTAGACGCGTCGGACCGCCACGTGGGAGCCCACGGGGAATCCGGTAGCGCCATGGCCCCTGGCGCCTTGATGTAGTCAATGTAGTTGCTGGCGCTCCATGAAAGGGATGCGACGATGTGCGTCACGTCGCTTAAAAAACATGTTTTTACGGGACACCATAATGTCGGCCGGCACACGAGCGACCCATGACGACAACTCATTGCACCGTCGAAAACGGACGTGACAGTAACTCACCGCACCGCCGAACACGGACGTGGCGGTAACTCACCGCACCGCCTGACACGGACATGACGGTAACTCATCGCACCGCCGAACACGGACATGACGGTAACTCACCGCACCGCCGGACACGGACATGACAGCAACTCACCGCACCGCCGAACACGGATAAGACGGTAACTCACCGCACCGCCGGACACGGACAAGACGGTAACTCACCGCACCGCCCGACACGGACATGACAGTAACTCACCGCACCGCCGAAACACGGACATGACGGTAACTCACCACCACCGCCCGACACGGACATATTGGTCTCACCGCGCCGCCAGACAAGGACCATTACGGTAACTCACCGCACCGCCGGACACGGACATGACGGTAAATCACCGCACCGTCGGACACAGACATGACGGTAACTCACCGCACCGCCCGACACGGACATGACGGTAACTCACCGCACCGCCGGACACGGACATGTGGGTGACGGCCGCGGGCACGCTGATCTCGTTCAGCACCGTCAGCGACTCCAGACACCAGAGGATCACCGTCTTGTCGTGCGACCCTGCCGAGCGGACAGATGTCAGCTGGCTTAGACATGTCATGGTCGCTGTCTGGCTGCGCGACACTAGACACCCGCGGGGGAAGTCGGCGGCGCCAAAACTGAAGAACTTCTGTAAGACTTTGCTCGAGTGACAGCGTGCTGCGATCAGACCAATGGATAACGTGGCACATCCGTTTGTATATAAGGATTAAATAGTACATCAGGGGTACGAAAGAAATGCTGGTTTCACAAGCATGCCGCAGTTCACGGCACCGCGGGGGCAACGCGCTTCTCAGTGCCAGGCTAAACTCGGGCTTGGTCTCACCACATCTGTCACACATTGACGAGACTAATCGCGTCTGTAGACCGAAACTGACAAGTGCCGCCGTTTACTCTGTGGAAATCCGGATGTGCAACGTAAGAATTACTGCTCCCCCCCCCCTTCCCTCACGAGGTTGCACGGTAGGACTAGCTTCTTTTCAATGCGCAAAGGGCGCTCTTAGACCTGCAATATTTCGTAAATTGTGTGTGCTGTTTGCTGTACTTTTGCGTGCCGTTGGGCCGCGGTTCGTTTGTGCTCAGCATCGTTTGTGGCATATCTGCCGTTAGCTGTCGCACAGCACTCCACGAAGTCAAGTCTGTTCAATTTGGAACCCGCTTGCCGTCAACATGTTTTCCACGAAGTCGTGCTCGTCTGCTTGTTTGCACAAAGCACAGATTGACATAAATATTCATGCCAGCTACGATAAAAAAACAAGGCGCACGCTGGAAAGAAATAATTAGGTTTCTGAAGAGGTCTCTGAACGTCAGTATATGTGGCAGGCTTATTAATGTAAATGACCATCACGCCGTAAAGTAACCATGTGATCACACAACGGGACCTTCCCCACAGCAAAGCTTCATATACAAGAGCACCGTGCCGCAGCATGGTCTTGAAAAAGTCAACTTTCAGATGACGGTGGCCAGAGTCCAGATACCACTCGACGACAGAAATACACCACATGCGCAACTCCCCAAACAAGACACTGCGCACGTCGACCACACAGTGTGGCTTGACTTGACCCCCTCCACCCCGTTGACCTCACACCGACCTGACGCCATGACCTCCGACTCGCTGTTGATCTCGATGCAGGTCACGGGGCCCCTATGCTGCGACAGTTGACGTGGCTCACTGCTGACATCTGGCGGCAGAGAGAGAGAGCAAACGCATTGAGGATCCTTCACGTAAGTGACATCAGTCACGTGAATACTAATTAACCAGACGCTAAATTGCGACTCACCGAACTGTTTTCGTCGCTTATCACGTCAGTTGTGACGTCACGCCACATCATACTGTCGCATCACGTCATGTCAGCTGTGACGTCACGCCACGTCACTGTCACATGACGTCACGTCAGTTGTGACGTGACGTCGTCAAGCTGCGCACCGACAGCCAGACTTAAAGCTGTCACTCAGCACCCAAAACCCACATCACCATCGCCACACGGCGGTGGGCGATGTCCTCCCCCTTGAGTTACGTCGTCCACAAATATGCACCTTCAGAGCTCAGCGCCAGCATGCTGTAGGAGCCGCATCTTCAGGAAAATGATCGCGAGGCTCCATGCGTGCTCATCACCGCCGGTGTGTTGTTTTAGCGCTGAGCAGTTCCGTGCGGTTATAACTAAAATTGCCCCAACCTGCGCGACGATCAGTTCAGCTTTTCCTGAGCTCGGTCTCCCAGACGGACTACCGTGCGGAGACATTCTTCACAATGTTCTCTCTTTACATCACAGCTAGGGTCAAACTCCTGCGTACTTCATTCTAAGCGTGCTCGGCGCTCCTAATCCTCACCGTAAGCGTACCCGGTGCTCTGGTCCGTCACCGTAACGTTCTCAGTGTTACCAGCTCTCACCGTGACCGTGCTCGGTGCTCCTAGCCCTCCCCCCGAGAGCGTGCTCGGTGCTCCCGATCTTCACCATAAACACTATCGGTGCTCCTGACTCTCACCGTGAGTGTGCTCGGTGCTCCCAGCCCCCCCCCCTCCCCCCCCGAGAGCGTGCTCGGTACTCCCGATCTTCACCATAAGCGCTATCGGTGCTCCTGACTCTCACCGTGAGCGTGCTCGGTGCTCCTAGCCCTCCCCCCGAGAGCGTGCTCGGTGCTCCTGACCCTCACCATAAACACTATCGGTGCTCCCGACTCTCACCGTGAGTGTGCTCGGTGCTCCCTAGCCCCCCCCCCCCGAGAGCGTGCTCTGTGCTCCTGATCCTCACCATGAGCACTATCGGTGCTCCTGACTCTCACCGTGAGCGTGCTCGGTGCTCCTGAGCCGTGTCACGTACAGACAGCTGTCCTCCCCGCCGCTGACCACGATGTCTCCGCGGCTCGCCAGGCTGGCAGACGAGACGCACAGCACGGAGGCGATGTGTCCGGCTGCGCAGAGTGGCGGCGCCTGGTACGCGTCCCTCGCTTTCTCGCAGTGATAGACACAGTTTGTTCCACCGCGCGTCAGCGCGTGGGTTCGATGCTCACCTCTGGCATACATTTTCTCGATAAAAGCGGAAACATGCATCAAGGAAGGCGATGTCGTGAGATTCC